GTGTAAAATCTATAGATATGCAGTTGTGCAGTCATTGTGCAACACCATCTTTCTAATAAATACTGATGTTATGCAGTTGTGTATTCATGTGCCTGCTTATTGTTCCATTGTGCATTGCATTCCTGCAATCCCAGTGAATCAAGAGGTATGTTGAAGGCACTGAAGGCATACAACCCAAGGATGCACAACTACATTACTGGAATCCTGTTGTTTAGTTCTTCCTTCTCCTTCTCTTTGTAAGGGATGGTGGCTAGGAAAATTTCTGAGCATTTGACACCCAAAATATATACCTAGAACAGGGATGGGAGTTGTGTGCAGATCCCAAGGCCCTCATTGTGGGCTTGATTTGGCTTATTCTCTAGTTGCTACCTTGGACTACATGTACACTTATTTGTGACTTCCCCTCCTTTAAACAGGACAGGGGAAAAAGAATCAGGCTAATGGAGATGCAGGCCCTCAGCATTTGACTATCCCTCACTTAGAATAAAAGTGAAACAGAGAGATAATAAAATGAGGAGAGCCAAGGAAGAAAAAAGGACCATATTTCTTCTTTGCTGCATCAGCTCAGTGTTAGGTTGTTTCCTTGAAGTTCTTCATTGACCAAAATAAATGAATAAATAAATAAATAAATGATGAGCTATGCACAGAAATGAAAGTTAGGCATTGCAAAGAAGAAGAAGAAGGCATCTGTGAAGTGCAATATTGAAAGAAATATAACCTTAATTTCTGCCTAATGGGAAATCCTTAAGTCTGATCAATTGGAGATATTTGGAACCAGGTACTGAGATTACTGATCTTCATCAAAAGTGATGGCCATGTGGAGAAAGTCAATTGGAAACAGATTTGAGGCCACCTCAAGCAAAAGGAATAATTCTGTGGTACGGCTGCCACAATTTCATCTGTCAGTTGTATTGCATCCTCAGTGCGATATGACAACTTGCTCTTCATTGATTTGGGTGAAATCAGTTCTGCACTCAGTCTTCTGTTGAGTCAAATGATATACAAGTTTTCCATTGCTATTATTTACTTTCTCTATAGATTGCCTTTACCCAAACCAATATCTTAAGGTGACTTTTGGGCAAAAAGTCTTTTGCATAAATTCATAAATTGTGTGTGCACAAACCTTATGCAGAAAAAAAAAATCAAAGTTCTCATTTCTTTGCAATGGTCTCGCCGTGGCTGACCTACTGCCCATAGTATCCCTCTGAGAAAAAAAAAATAGCATCTGTGTTTTAATCTACTCTCTTGAAGGTATTTGCTATTATCCTATGATAGGAGGAAAACACCGCTAAGATTATCTTAATAGTTCCCATCATATTATATGACTTCCTCATAGATCATAGAGTTGGAAAATGGCCATCCAGTTGAATCCTTTTCTGCTATGCAGGAAGACGCAATAAAAGCACTCATGACAGATGGTCATCCAGCCTCTGTTTAAAAACCTCCAAAGAAGGAGACTCTATCACCCTCTGAGACAGTAGTATCTTGCACTGTTGAACAGCTCTTACCATCAGGAGCTTATTCCTAATGTTGAGGTAGAATCTCTTTTCCTATAGCTTGAACCCACTGCTTCAAGTCCCAGTCTCTGGAGTAGCAGAAAACAGTCACTGAAGCTTACCATATTTAGACACTTCCCTGGTCCTCTTCACCATCCAAGGGACACAGATTACAGTTGGTATTCACTGAAGACTGGTGTGTATGCATGTGTGTGTGCCTTCGAGTATGGACTCGATACCTGTGTCCCATGGAGGATATTGTGGATGGCCAAGAAGTGTCCTACTCAACATTGTCCTACTCAACATTGTCCTATTCAACAATGTCCTACTCAACATTGTTGTCAGGGCTCTCCAAAATTCTCTTGTATGCTGCAGTCATTTTAATTGACCCATATTGTTAAGAATGTATTGTGACTCCTGTCTTTAAGGTGCTGTTCCTTATAAGACTGGTTATTATCCATGCATTGTGTTAGATGGCTGGCTACAAACTACACATAAGAAGAGCCTAAAAAGATGGTGACATCTCATTGAGCAGCCTATGGGTCAAGAACTTGACCTGTTAAGCAAGTATTCCCCATTCTGAATCTTGTCTGAGAAACCTTTGGATGAATCTGTACTGCAGAAATAATGCAGTTTGACATTGCTTTAATTGTCAAAGCTCCATGCTATGGAATCATGGGATTTGCAGTTTTTTGTGGCACCAGAGATCTCTGACAGAAAAGGATAAGTATCTCACAAAACTACTGACCCCACAATTCCATAGTACTGAGCCATGAGAGTTAAAGTGGTGTCAAGCTGCAATTATTCTGCAGCGCAGATGTAGCCTCTGTTCACAGACTAGTCTCAGTCCTCACTCCTGGGACTGTCTGCAGGCTGGATACAGTTATATGATTCTTGTTCAGATTCGTGTTGCCTTTGTTCATGAGAGGGGAAAAATAAAAGAATTTATTTTCTGTGTATGAGACAGCAGGATTTATGAAGCGCTTCTGTTTTCCTCGGAGAGAACCTGTACATTTTGTGGATTGTTTCTAGAGATGTACAACTTTGTAAATTTCATTCTGGCAGGCGAGATTGAATTATTTTATTGTTTTTCCCTTTGCTGGGATAAAATCATCAAAAACAGCACAGTTTTGGAAGATCGTTTGCAGTTTGGTTCTTATTCTGTCGGGAAAAAGGCATGTGTTGTTTTCTGAGACAATAGTACTTTCTCTGCAGAAAATTGTATATCCTATGCACGCCATCTGCATAGAAAATGCCATTTTATGTCCCCTGCTTGCCTTTTGTTTTTTGTTTTTTTGCATTTTTTCATGCAGAGTAAGTCCTGAACTGTGAAGATTCAAGGGGAGTCAAAATCAGCTTAGATGGACCATGTGCCTAAACACTTACCTGGGAAATTCTGCCATGCCTGAAAATCCTTGTGTCCCAGGAGCAATGAGATGTCATGAAAAGATACAGAAGAGATTGTTTTCTTATAAGACATGTCACTTCCTATTGGAAGAAAAGCCTCTCCAGGGCCCTACAGGCATCTGGGGAAATTTGGAGGAGGGGGTGAAACATAATGTTTTTTCAAACAAAGGTTTTGGATGGATCTCATAACCACACAAAGAAAGCCTTGGAGGCTTAACGTAGCTCATGAGATGGATTTTCCCCATATACTGATATATGTTCCTCTCCAGATTTTTCTGTACAATGACACCAAGACTTG